ATTAGCCAAGCCTCGTGGGAGAGAGAAGCTCTGAAGGTCATCAGGATCAATTGTGCTGGAAGGACAGGGGTCCTCTTCCACACCTTCAGTGAATTTTAGCTGGAGATAGAAAAATGGGCAGTGGCTCAGGCTGAAAAGGCAAATTGTGTAGACACACACACACACACACACACACACACACACGGACAGCAAATGTCTAAAAGTATAGCTCCCCTTGAGTATCACCTCAACTAATCCTTATTTTCTCCTGCCCTATAAGCACTCCCCCCATACAAAATCATATTAACTTTTCACAGGACATGCTTAACCTAATCAGGCAACTTCAAGGGCTCATTTAATTACTTCTAATCTTGGTTAATTTGTTGTTAAAACATCCTGGGCATTAAGTTGTGAACTCAACCGACTGAATTCAGTTATGGTCCACTATATGGTCCCCCAAAATAAGTTAATTCAGGGATAGATTAGTTGATGCATTTCTTTATTTGAATTTATTACGTCCAGGTAGCTAGGAGGAAAGTCTAAATAACTATGTAATTGGAAGCAACTCCAGTCACACCTTTCAGATTGTCCTCGTGCTTTGAAGGGAATACAATTTTGATACCTAAAACACTACTTCTACTAACTTGCTGGCTACATACCCACTACCAACAATGGAATTAATCTATTTACACACAGTAAAGTGAACCCTAAGTTAACCAATTCTGAAAGGCAGGACTTAAAAATAAGTGAACACTGTCATGCACAAAACTAACCAAAACTAATCCTATTAAACTCTATCCTGTTTAGTATGTGGATGCAGCTGATGCCAGGCCTTTAGCTGACCTTAGAAAACAGGATGGCCTGACTGGTAGTTACCCTCCATTTATTCATTTTCTGGAGCAATCTCTCAGCGTTGACTGGGGAGTCTTGGCTCGTCTTTTAACTTCAGCTGGGATGAACCAAAACTGGCGACGGGACTTTTCCAGTCTCCAAGCCAGGCTTTAAGTTCTGCCTGTCGGATGTTCAGTTTCTGTGCAAAAGAAGCGGGCGGGGCTAGGGGACTTTCCTTAGGCCAGTGGTGGCGAACCTATGGCACGGGTGCCAGAGGCGGCACTCAGAGCCCTCTCTGTGGGCACGCGCACCATTGCCCCAGTCCTAGGCCTTCAGCTGGGTTTTATAAAACCTTTTCGCTTTAGGCCTCCACCGCCGTGTACAAAAAAAAAAAGGTTCAATCAATCAGTCAATTTCAGCTTCTCACGAGGAAAAAAAAAGATCTTGCAAAGTTGGAATTGATTGATTGAACTTTTTAGTCCCACCCAGTCTGCTGTTACCACCGCAGCCACGCCCACCCAATGGGCATGTCCAGCCAATGGGCCACATCCAGCCAATGGGCCACACCCACCCGGCACCCGATGATGCATAAGTGGGTTTTGGGTTGCAGTTTGGGCACTCGGTCTCTAAAAGGTTCGCCATCACTGCCTTAGGCGCTGCTTCTTTGCTGCCTCTGCAGCTCCTCCGATTGGCCGGCTGTGGAATAAATGGCGTCCGGAGCTGGAGCGCCGGGCATTGCAGGAAAGCTCTCCAGAAGAAAAAGGCCGCGGGGGGGGGCTCTCTTGCGCAGGAGGACCGAGCGCCTCTGGGCTAACCCGCCACTGAGGTTTCAAAGCATTTATGTGAGAGAGGATAGGATTTGAACCTGGAGTTCCAGCTCCCTTCACTAGGCCGCTCTGCCCGTGAAGGCAGGCCCTGCCCTGCTGGGCCCCATGAAAACTTCCAAGCCTGCACTGCGAAGCATGAGGGAAGGAAATGGGCAATCTTGTTCCAGATTACTCAGGGAAGAGGCCCTTTTTGAAGTATAACTATCTGAAATAATCAGAGGGAATGGGATCAATTATAAAAGCCATTAAGATCGAATGACAAGATTCATTTCAGTACTTCTCCACAGATTCCCTGCCATTGGACCATGAACACGAGGGACAAAAGGGGTGAAGGAAAAAAGGCTCCAAGTAGAGGTCCTTCCCTACTGAAGGGGAAGAAGCCCACAGCAAACAATACCAGCAGAACAGTTTTGGTCTTTGTTACTGATCTGAATCCCTATTCCCTTTAAAGTGTATGTGTACAGCATGTGCCTCCATGTTAGTGACTGCCTGGACTTTAGTGAGTGCCTGCAGTTTTCTTGGGAACATTTTCTGAAATGGTTTACCATTACCTAGCCAGAGAGAGAGTGATCAGCTCAGTCACCCACCTGGCTTTGTGCCTAAGTACTGGAACTCATGGTCTCCCAGTTTCTAGCCTGGTGCCATACGCTCTACAAACTGGTTCTGTCCCTCTAAAGTCCTGGGCAACAAATCCTAGCAGATATTACACCTTGAGTCTAATTTTCTGAGTTGTTGAAGAAGGGAGAGAAAATGCTCCTTTAATTTCTTCCAGCTAAAGATTACTTAAGCCTGTCTCACTGAGGACAGAAGAAAGCAAAGTTATGGGGACAGAGCAAGAAGGAAGAGGAGGAAAAAGTTGCATACTAAGCATATTTTCATCCTTCTCAGTGCAAGTAAAAGAGTATGGTGGATCCAAAGCCTACCCTAAGAGTCAACAAGAAGAAAGTGGGGAGGGGTGGGGGAAGTGCCCAAATTAACATAAACTGAATCAGGTTCACCTAAACCCAATTCATGGCCATAGAATGACTTGGGCAGAAGACAGTCTTTAGGTGACATGATGTGAGTATACTGTTGGAGCTAATCCAAAACCTATCTGAGGTACACATCTTCCAATTCTTGATTTCTAAGTGAATGCTAACACACCTGAAATGTAGTGAATCTTCTGACCACACAGGAAGTATGAGATGGGATCCCTGAGTACAGGAGCATATGAGTTGCAGTTCCTTATTTAGGTTGCCTAGAACTTCCTGTGGTATGAAAGTGATTGGATAGCCATAGAGGAAAGCAAAATATGTGGTTTCTACTAAGGATTGGCTTGAAAACTTGCACTCCCTCTTGACTGCCCAAGTGGCCTGCTGTTGAAGCATGTCCAGCTGAGAGTTTTGCTGGAGGCTTGCTTGCATCTGCTCTGGAGTCAAAGAAACTGTTTCTTTAGAAGAGCCCTTGTAATGTGCAGCTGCCATGGCAAAACCTCATGAGCTGTATTGGGGATTTTCAGTTCTTGTTGGGGCAGAGAATTGAGTTGGCTCAAAATTGGTAGAAGATGCTCAGTGCTTACTGAGCCATCCCTTGCTATTAATTATCCATCTGGGTGCTGAAATGTATTATTAGCATCTGTCTTCCCTGGCTGAGTGCTTATGAAAGATACTGCCAGGTTCCAAATAAATATAGGGTGGTGAACATCAGAGCTGAGTTACACTTGTGTTATATCACATGCTTTTGCAGGGATCAGGCCAAAATCATTCCATGTTATCCAGCGTTCTGCCTCCTGCAGCGGTCAGGCTAATATCTCTGAGTGACTCACAAATAGGGCAGGAAGTCAAGAAACCTCCCTAACTCTTTGTTCCTTGCAAGCAACTCAAAACCTAGGGCAAATATGCTGTGCTCAAAAATCAGTTCAGTAAAGATCTAAGTCAGGGGTCTTTAAACTTGGCCCTTTTATCACTTGTGGACTTCAACTCCCAGAATTCCTCAGTCAGCGTGCCTGGCTGAGGAATTCTGGGAGTTGTAGTCCACAAGTGATCAAAGGGCCAAGTTTGAAGACCCTGATCTAAGTGATGCCGGCAGACAGCATAATATGTTTGATAAGTGTTAATAGTATTTAATTTTTGTGGTGGGCCAGTATAGTGATCGAACCTAATCCATTTGATTAGTTTAAATTTCAGTATATTGTGTGAATTCACCAAATTGGATTCACTGAGAAGTAGGGATTAGCAAGTTGCAATCATTACCATGACAGTTCTGTTTAAGTATCACAATGAGTGACAGTGACAATATGTTGTTGTTGATACTCCTCCTCCTTGGTCACTCCACTGCCAAAGGTGGATGGTCAGGAAGGTCATTCTCAGTAAATTCCTTTCTGGTGTGCATCCATCTCCTTCCTAATTGGTTCGGTTTGCTAGGTACCTTAACTAGGGTAGTTCAAGATCTAGTAAAGTTTGTAGAACATAACTTATACACTTGTTTGAAGATGTACTGTGGAGGGAGGGAGGGAGGGATGGGGAGGTAGTATATTATTCAAACCATCCCTTTAGCTAGTTTATTATTTCATGTATTATGCATTCTCATAAAATAAATTAATTTGATCAGGTTAACCATTGTGCAGCCAATATGTATTGCTCATTGTTTGTGATTCATGGTTTTAAATGGCACAGCTATTTCTCCATAAAACAAAAATGTGAACATATATCTTTACTGCTCTCACCAGAATCCAGTGGGCTGCACCTTCATGATTTCTGCTCAAGCCTTCATCAGATTTGACTTGCGATTTTTCTACTCTTGCTGGATATTGGATTAACACCATTGCAACATTGGAGGCGGGGGGGGGGAATTGATGTGGACTTCTGGCATTAGGGGTCCTTGGTGCTCTCTGAGCTTGTTTGTTTTCTTGCAGACATTTCATGTCAACCCTCATGTCAACCCTGAGCTACAAATATTCTCCTTTATTAGTACTTCTGGCATCTGATGGAGGATTCTTCTGATGGCCCAATATTTTTTCAGTTTGTTTGCAGGTTCTCAAGAGGGCTTTCCCAACCTGCCCTCAGAAAATGGCCATGCAAATATATCCATGGTGGGTCTCAAGATGGAGCCGTGTGTGGTCCCCCATTGTCACCTTGTGCCATGTTCCACCAATCAAAGTCAACAGAAACTTCAGGCTCAGCGGAAACTCAGCATTGCTTGTCTGGTCTGCTTTCTCTTCATGGTTGGAGAAGTTATAGGTCAGTTTTGTCAAAAGGTATAATAGATCTGCCCTCTCTATTTATTAATTTATTAATCATCTGCATTCATCTAAACACACTTAACCTGGCTGTTGAATTAACTCATTTTCTGGTTCATCCAACTCATTAAACAATAAACTGACTAAAAGGCTTCTGTTTGTACAACACATAAATTGATACACAACAAAACATGATTACCTTATCCACCAGTTTAGCAAGTTGTGCACATACATATACTAGTTTTTAATTGATCTGTCTCCATCTATGCCTTTGAGAGCCCCTGGGGCCTGTCTGTTTGCCTTCCAGGTGGATACATGGCACATAGCCTGGCCATCATGACAGATGCAGCCCACCTGTTGACAGATATGGGCAGCATGGGTGTCAGCCTCTTTTCACTCTGGGTCTCCACTCGCCCAGCCACCAAAACCATGAGCTTTGGCTGGCACCGCTCAGGTAGGTCCTTTCAATAGCTAACCAATGAAAGCATTCCTATAGTATCTCGCCTCCCATCATTCAAACAGGTTAGAACCCTTCTCTGACATTAGCAGAAAGCTGAAGCATGTTTTTTACACTGGAAGTTAGAGTCCTTTTCTATAATTGACATTGAGAATTAAGGTTACCATTTTGCCTGAAGAGATTAGAGAGGACATTATAATAACTGAATTGGCCTTTTACAGGAAAGTCTGAATGAAATGTACATTTCTAGAAAACTCTAAAAGATGTGTTCATGAAGAAGTCCTTAGACAACAGGACATTTGTCCCTGGTTTCACTTATGCTACATCTGAGGGCTATTCACACTAACCTGTGCCTGTTTTCCATTGACAAAATGAATGAATTCTGAAGGATAATCCTTCTGATCTTGTGGTGTAAGATTTTCCTCTGATCAGAGTCTTTTTTAACATTGGTATTGGTTTAGGACAGAATGTTTGCTGTATTCCTTCCATGATAGCCTGTGCCAAGGTATCTCCATCTTATCCATTGAAGTCAATAGTCCAACATGTATTTGTTTTACTTCCTTGAACTATAATATAAATCCATCTGAAACATACTTTTGGTGAGTATTGCTCTCCCGTGTTTGAGGTCTGGGATTGTTGTTCCCTTCTTAAAAAAATACTTGTCAATACTGTACAGTATCTTTTATATATGCAACTATGGTATTCTCTTCTCTGTGAATGCTTCCCCCCCCCCTATTGTCCCCTCTGCTTTTCTCTGTTTTTTGACAAAATAATTACATCAATTAAAATAAAAAACAGCATTTGAACATATTGTGAGACATCTTCAAAAGAAATGTTTGTGTGAAAGACTAGAAGGAATGAATTTCTTCTCCCTTTTGAACCACTGCAAAGCAGTGTGAGGGCAAAATGCTTAGAAAAAGCAAGATAGAGCTATGTGCACTGTGATTAAGGTCCCTGGAGACATAGGATCTATAGTATGTTATAATTGCTTACAGATTTTTTTAAAGTTTGGGGTCCTCTCCCCTGGACTGAGGTTTGGGCTCAGAGTTTAAGGGGTTATCTGAATGCTGCATGCAGAGAACTCCAGGAGAGAAGGGAGTAAGGAAGCAGAATGACTGACTGAAGATAAAAGAAGATTTATGTATCTGTTTTCCTTTTTAGATGTTTGATGATGATCAAAAGATTGTTTTGGATTTGCAGGGGACTTGTGGACTCTCTTTTGAGGCAGAGAATCAGATGCAAAACTAATCAAGAATATTCTCCAGCATCTATTTTCAGGGCTGCCTATTTTGAACATTTCACCTGGTATCCGTGCGATGTACTTGTCCATTGTCTAAGACAGTGGTAGCGAACCTATGGCACAGGTGCCAGAGGCGGCACTTAGAGCCCTCTCTGTGGGCACGCGTGCCATCACCCCAGTCCTAGGCCTTCAGCTGGGTTTTATAAAACCTTTTCGCTTTAGGCCTCCACCACCGTGTATATATATAAAAAAAGGTTCAATCAATCAGTCAATTTCAACTTCTCGCGGGAAAAAAAAGATCTTGCAAAGTTGGAATTGATTGATTGAACTTTTTAGTCCCACCCAGTCTGCCGTTACCACGGCAGCCACGCCCAGCCAATGGGCCACACCCAGCCAATGGGCCACACCCACCCGGCACTCAACGATGCATAAGTGGGTTTTGGGTTGCAGTTTGGGCACTCGGTCTCTAAAAGGTTCGCCATCACTGGTCTAAGACTTCCCTACAGTTTGCTTTTCCCTCCCTTCCTTCAACTGTTTGTCTAGGACTCTAGGTAATCTGTTGGCAATTAGAAGCCCAAAGAACTTCTAGAATGGATAGGTGTATATATCTTTAATGAGGAAAGGGAGGAAGGCAAAAGACTCACTATCAGAGCTGATGAATTCCTTTGATATACTCACAAGACCATTGCAATCAGTTACCCTATAGTTTGGTTATTTGTAATTAAATAATTATTAATTTGTTTTTATTTACAATTGTATAAATTACTTATTGAGAGCCAATTTGGTTAGGACATCAGGTTAGAAACCAGGAGACTATGAGTTCTAGTCTTGTCTCAGGAACAAAATGTCAATGGCTGTTCTTAATCATCCTGGTCATGATTGTTCCCAAAGCTGCCTTTTTTCTATTTTCATCCATTTTCTATTTCTATTTATCAAATTTGAAAACCACCCATCTCACAGAGTGGCAATATACTTAATTATATTGCCCAGCTATGGGAGTGTGTCTATTATAGGCCCTCTGAATGATTTTCTCCTCTGGTTTTTACTTTTTGGCACCTCATCTACTAACTCATGTATCATGGACAGGGTAGATCTGATGTCACTATACTCTGTTGCAGTTTGGGGACTCTGAAGTGGCATCTCTAAAATTACTAATAACTACTACTTTGAGTTATTGCAAGCATATTGCAAGTAGGGGGTTGGACTAGATGACCTCCAAGGTCCCTTCCACCACCACCACCACCACCACCACCACCATCATCATCATCATCATCATCATCATTATCTTTTATTCATTAGACATGAACCTCAGTCAACTGAACACTCAAATTGGCTGGTGCTGATGGTTGACATGGGTTGCTACCAGCATCCTAGGTGTCAACCAGGTACCTCCTTAAAATATAAGATGTTCCGAGTAGCACAGTTTTTTATAACATTGCTGGAGTTATTGCAGGAAGCTGCAGTTTCTTGATGTATTTTGCAAAGTTTTTGGACATAGTTCCCAGTGCCCCGATGACAATGGGTATCACTGTTACACGTTTCATCCATAATCGTGCAGTTTCAATGGCCAGGTCGCGATATTTCGTAATTTTTTCCATTTCTTTTTCTTTGACTCTGGCATCTCCTGGTACAGCAATATCAATCAGCTGTACACTTCGGTTCTCCACAACTGCAATATCTGGCGTGTTGTGTTCCAAATTATTATTATTATTATTATTATTATTATTATTATTATTATTATTATTATTATTACTACTACTACTATTATATAGTTGTATCAGTGATAGTATCTAGACACCTTATTTTGTCTTGGCTTTTTTTTCTTATTGCCTTTGATTTTTCCAAGTATCAAGATTTTCTCCAGTATGAGAAGGGTCTTTTCACATTGTGTATCAAACTATTTCACCATTAATTTTTTTATCAATGTGTGTCCAGTGATCAGTCTGATTTTACTTCCTCTGGTATTGAATGATCTGTTCTTGTCACCCAAGGTATTCTCAATCAATTTTTACAGCTTTCATAGCCATATACCTGGAAAGCCATAATGATAATGCAGACTTGTTGTTTCTTCACATTAATATTTTGCCTAAACTTAGCTTTGAAGGAGGTTATATGTTTTCATTTCATGGCTATAGTCACCACCCCTCTACATTTTTGAGGCTAGGAAAATACTATGCGATTACTTCAACTTCTTCTCAATTTGCATTGAGTTAGCATTGCCTTTTGACATAGCCTTAGGGGTTTCTTATATTGAGAATGGAGCAAGCTTTTGCACTCCCTTTTTTCATTTTTAACAAGAGATTTAACTAGAGATGCCTTCCTCACTTCAAGACCTCAAGGTATCATTACCATTTCTAAGGCTGTTGATGTTTCTCCCAACAAGTTGAATTTCAGTTTCTATTTCATCTGGTTCAGCATTTCTCATGATATATTCTGCATGAAAGTTAAATAAAGTCTAGTACCTTGGTTACACTCCTTTCTCAATTATTCCAATATTGAATCATTTACTTGCACCTTATACTGTTTAATTGTTACTGCCTAATCATCAAATACATTCTAAAATAGCCAAGTGAGATGACTGGATACATCTATATTTTTAAAATCTATATACATTTTGTTGTGGACTATGCAGTTAAAAGCCTGAACATAATAAAAATGCCAAAACAATTATCTTTTTGGAGCTCCCTTTGCTTTTCTTGTTATTTATCAGTTGTTATCAATGTAAACTCAAGGACTCCTCCCTCTTCTGAATCTGGTTTGTACATTTGGCAGTTCTCATTTTATGTATTGTTGAAACTCAGATTTCAAATCTTGAGCATTAGCTAATAAATGCAATTGTTCACTAAATACAACTGATTAGAGAATGTAAGGTTAGAGAAAAAAATCACAATATAAGGCTGTTTAAATCTTCCACTAGTAATGAAATGAGTGGTCATTTTTACTGTCTTGGTAACATCACCCAGCACTGTAGAAATGATATAAAGCCTATCTACTTCACTGTTACTTTGACATGGTGGCTAGGTGACATTAAAATATCAATTGATCTAAGGAGAGCATGGCAATTGTCAAGGCATTCTAAAACATCTCTAAACGGCAAGTAGGGAAAGGGCCAGTGTGAAAATTTAAACTAGCCTGTAGATTCTCTCAATTTTTTCTCCAAATAATTTTGAACAGAGCCGAGGTGAGGTCTACGTTTTGCCCTTTTGGTGTGAAATAAATGCCAGTCTGCATTACTATTTCCTGAGCAGCTTGCAGAAAGATCAGGAAGAAAATTGTCAAGATAGTCAGGGAACCTGAACAGCTGCTTTCTTTTTTCTCACAGAAACACTGGGTGCCTTGGCTTCTGTCGTCTCTATCTGGATCGTGACAGGAGTGCTGGTCTACTTAGCTTCAGCCCGTATAATTAGCAACGACTATGAGATTGAAGCTTCTGTGATGCTGGGCACTTCAGCCTGCGCAGTGGGAGTGAACATCATGTAAGGATTTCTAGGGTGGGGAAAATATTTGAATATTAACTCTCTGAGGAGGTAACTTTATCTGATAGAGCAGTGGTGGTGAATCTATGGCACGGGTGCCAGAGGCGGCACTCAGAGCCCTCTCTGTGGGCACGCGCGCCATCGCCCCAGTCCTAGGCCTTCAGCTGGGTTTTATAAAACCTTTTCGCTTTAGGTCTCCACCGCCATGTGCAAAAAAAAAAAGGTTCAATCAGTCAAAGGTGAAATCAGTCAATTTCAACTTCTCGCGGGAAAAAAAAATCTTGCAAAGTTGGAATTGATCGATTAAACTTTTTAGTCCCACCCAGTCTGCCATTATCACTGCAGCCACGCAAAGCCAGTGGGCCACACCCAGCCAATGGGCCACGCCCACCCGGCACCCGACGATACATAAGTGGGTTTTGGGTTGCAGTTTGGGCACTCGGTCTCTAAAAGGTTCGCCATCACTGAGATAGAGTGTCTATGTGGCATTGATTAAGCAACAAGCTTGCAAGCTGTCAGCCATATAGTTCCACTGATTGCATGTTTGTGGTCATAAGAAATTTGTTCTACTTCTCTTTAAGATGCCACTGTGTTTGTGGGGTTTTGTTGATATTTCCAGAATTATTTGACTGGTTTGATTGGAAAGAAACTTGTACTTTAGGTGGTCTTTTGATCTGATTTGCTAGAATCCACTGCTCTTCACTGTTCATCTTTACAAAGTGTCTTTTCCCAAAACAGTTGCTTTTTAATCCTTCTGGATGCTGGAGATAATGTGGAAACCATTGCGGATCCTATCAGGCAGCATTCCACCTAGCCTGTCTTGCTTCCTGCAGGGCAATTCTAAAATATTAGATAAACAATTATGTATCAAAATAAAACACGTGTATATTTGAAAGATTTCCTATTTTGCTTGGTTGCCCTAAAAGCACTGATTGGGAGATGCCCTTAAGGATCTATACCAGTGATAGGCAACCTTGGCTCTTTTATGACTCGTGGACTTCAACTCCTAGAATTCCTGAGCCAGCATAGGAATTCTGGGAGTTGAAGTCCACGAGTCATAAAAGAGCCAAAGTTGCCTATCCCTGATCTATACTATAACTGCTACATTTTCACTATGAATATTTTGTAATTAAACAATATCACCACTATGAATATGGCACATATGCTAGTCCAGTTGTCTGCACCGATTGGTGAAGGAGCAGGAACTATGGGTAGAAGAGGGTTTGCTGAGATGGATGGGATTTTTAGGATTGTTTGGTGAGAAACAGAGACAAAGATGACCATAGTTACCACTCTTGAAACTCTCCACAGCATGGCCTACCTTCTGCATCAGTCAGGTTCTGCACACAGTCATGGATTCAGCACAAGAGGCTATGAACAGATTGAGGACAGCCCCCATGGCCCCTCCATTCCCACCCATGACAACACCAGTGTCCGAGCGGCTTTTGTACATGTGGTGGGGGACCTACTTCAAAGCATTGGGGTCTTTGTGGCTGCCACTGTCATCTATTTCAAGGTATGAAGGATCAGGTTATGATACTTTTTAATACAATCAAATCTTTCTCTTGTTCTCTAAATGAAGACCTCTCTTATGAGCATCTCCCTCCATTACTTCTACTTTCCCCCCAGCCTGAGACAGTAGTTGTGCAGAAAAGTAGTTGTGGATTCCCAGCACAACTAAAGTCACCCAGGAGATAAATACTGTAAATAAACAACTGACGGAAGAAATAGCTCTTCCTCACACATTGCAGAAGAACATATGGTTGGGCCAGATATCTTTGCCCTAATGATGGGTCTGATTGGGTGATCAGGCTCAGGGAAACAGAGATATAGGTATCTGAACGTTAGAACAAGATACATTTTCCTTGCAAAACACACCTCCATTTCATTTGCTGTACATGCAGGTGTTCAGTGGAAGAGATCCCAAGTTCCTATCCAGACTACTTGGGAGAAAGTGGACCCAGAAACTCCTAGTACAGTGTTTCTCAACCTTGACAATTTTAAGGCATGTGGACTTCAACTCCCAGAATTCCACAGCCAGCATTGCTGGCTGTGGAATTCTGGGAGTTGAAGTCCACATGCCTTAAAATTGTCAAGGTTGAGAAACACTGTACCTAGTAATTATACTCATTGACATATAATGACAACAATTTCTGTGTGTGATGTAGAGGACACGTTTGGAATTTTAAGAGTACTCCCACAAAAAGTGCAACCACGATTGGTTGGCCAGTAACAGAATATCAAATTGCATAAAAGAAATCTAAAAGAAAACAAACTTACCGATGAATTTAATGATGGGTGTGTGTTTAAAGAGAGCAAAATATTTTTAAAAGAATTAAAATAACCATAAAACAAAATTGCAGTGTAACATAGAAAACCCAGTTACCTTCAGAGGAATTGTCTGCCCAAAATTTGGGCCTACTGTACTCTGTCTAGGCTATCAGTCCATCAAAATGGCATCTATTTAATGGGCATGTGAATTTTTATAGCTCGGGTATAACAATGTTAATGAAGATCAAAATATATAAACATTCTACTGAGAACCTTGGCTATAAAAAAATAAGGGGTTTGATGTGACTACTTGTCCTTTTCCTTTGCAAAATCAACCCAGGGTGTCAGAATTGGGAGATAAGTACCAGGATGCTTCATACTACCTGCCATTCCCTCTCCTCTTTTGCAGCCCCAATGTAAGATTGCTGACCCAGTGAGTACTTTCCTCTTCTCAGTCTTTGTGTTGGGCTCCACCTTAACCATCCTTCGTGATGTCTTTCGAGTACTCATGGAAGGTAAGTTGTCTTTCAGAGCTGCAAGAGCGCTACACTACAGGGGGATGGACATTGTTAAAATAATTCTAGAATGATTCTTGCAGATAATCAATTTTATTATAGGAAATTACTAATAATTAACAGTGGTTTCTCTATAATTAAGTGTAAGTGGATGATATAAATGTATTTACAGTTTTGGGCAATGATGTCAAGAGCAAAGGAATTTTCCTTAAGTACATTGAGGAAGAAAATAATGACAAAAATCTCTTTAGTTATGTATATCAAAAAGTGAAGAAATGAGAACCCACCACAGGGTCTGCTCATAAGTTGGCTTTTAGATCTCTTGACTCAAGTGGCAAACTATTAACACTTTTGAAATAAGAAAATAACCAAGGCAGAGTCTGCGTTGATCAAAGTAATAAGATGAAGAAATTATCTTGATGATGATAGTGATCAACTACCTACAATTAGTTACCGTACAATAAATGGGATAATTTCCAGTGGGATCAGTAACAAAACGTTGCACACAGCCCAATTGAAATGCTCCACTTTAGGGGTTTTGGCAAGTAGACATACCTACTGCAAGGTATTACAGGCTGCAAAGAAATCAACCTGGCAGTCTGTTCCTGCTTCCTGTTTTTTAATTTTCCACCTGGCATTTGATATTCTGTGATACCAAAGGATATTCAGTCCTTGCTGTCCTGTTCTTTAGTTGGTTTGTCCATTTAAATATCTGTGGAGATTCTCAGCCAGCCAGGTCATAGCTGTCTCAAAGGTGCTTTTCCAAAAGGCAACTGGGCTGGTTTTTTTCCTTGAGGAAAAAGAACACAATGTTTTGTTTCTCATCCAAGAAACTTCATCAGTTGTGATGGCGGGGGAAAGGGGGAATGGAAGGATAGGTACTGACAGTTAAATCTGTCGATTTAAATAAAAAATCCTTTATCCTTCTGCAAACCTTGAAGTTTCTCAAGGGCTCCTCTTATCTTGCATTTGTCCTGATTTGGCTCAAATCCTATTTACATTTGCCACTCATGTTTGCACTTAGTTGGCATTGATTTGATTGATTGGTTAGGTGCCCTCAAGTTAGTGTCGACTCTTAGCAACCACATAGATAGGTTTTCTCCATAATGATCTGTCCCTAACCTGGCTTTCAAGTGTACCAGTGGGACACCCATTGTACCATTCAGACCATCCAGGTTGCAGATGGCATGATTACAGCTAAAAATTCTGAAAGCATTATGCAATTTACTGGAAATGGCCAAGAGCCCATATCAGGGTGAGGGAGGCTCACATATGGCTTGGGTTTCAAGGAAACACTAGGAGACTGACTATTAGCCGTGGTTCTTTTCAAACTTCAGTAACAAACTAAGAATTGTATAATGGTTTTTAGATTAGTGACAGCATCAATGTCCCTCTGTTTGGGAACAGCATTTTTAAATAAAAAGACCACCACAGATGATTATACCCAACTGGAATGATTTCCCAACATATACACGATTACCATAGTTAGAATATGCAAGCTATGTTTATGGAATTTCTGTTAAATGTGTATGAGCCACAACTCTTTAAATTTGGGCAATAGCATACCTGAGGCTTGTTATGCTGTCCAAATCTATGGCAGCCATCACTAGTTCATGGAAATTAGACTTTGAAAGAAAGATTGCTAATTTCCACAATTCAGCAATGCTGGATGCTCAGAGTTTCAGGTAACTACTTGTCTTTGATAAAAGAACCGTATAGAATCAAGTGTGTATGTTAGATAGTATTGTTGATATACTGATTAATCATTTATTGAGTTTTAATCATTCACACACTTATTAATCATCAGTTGAGATTTAATGTATTATGTGAAGCCAACCTACAGTATGTTGGACTTACTCAACAAATTTTAACTAAACCAAGGCTCTGTGCAACTTGCACATATAGAAAGTGGCTATGCTCTCCATTGGAGGGGGGGGGGACAGAGCTGGAAAGTGATTTTTCTGATCAATGCAAAAAATAAAATGATGTATACTAGTCCTCTCAAATTTCAGTACAAAAATAAATGGAACTGAGTGTTTTCTCAAGACTGGTCTTGGAATAATGTCTCCATGTTGAGCTACCTAGTTGATGTGACAGTGCTTTCCTTAGCTTAGGGGAAATTGCATGGAACAGACATGTCAAACACAAGGCCCGGGGCCCGGATGCGGCCCGCGAAGTGGTTTCATGTGGCCCGCGAAGCCATCCTGGAAACAGTGAGGGAACGGACCCCTCTGCCTTGGCCCTGGCCCTGGCCAGCCAGGAGCCAATGTACAATTTTGTGGTGGCCATCTATGCTGAAACGCACTCAGTCTTAGCTCCATAAGCCACCCCCCCCCGCATGGCCTGAGAGGAACAGTGAGGCTCCTCCTCCCCCAGGCCCCCACAGGCACCCTTGACGCGATCCATGTAGAGCTGGCCACACCCACTCCATCCACACCCACCCAGTAGGCCACACCCACCCAGCCCGCTGAGGGCAACTGCAATGCTGATGCGGCCCTCAATGAAGTTGAGTTTGACACCCCTGGCATAGAAGATACCTCTCTTCTTCTGCATCTTGTGGCTTCCTCCCAGGATCTGTGTGTAAAATGACTGCTTTATGGTAGGTTTGGATTACACAAGAGGCAGTCACTTTGCACAATTCGAGCAGGGATCAGAGGCTTCTAAATGGGGATGGAATTGGACCCAGTTAAGCGGGTGCCATTTCTTTCTATCCTTCAGGGAGACCACGAGGTGTGGAGTTCCAAGCAGTTAAGGAAACCCTGCTCTCTGTCAAAGGTGTGAAGCATGTCCATAATCTGCATCTTTGGGCTTTAACTCTCAGCCATCATGTTGTGGCTGTACACATAGCCATTGGTGAGTACTTTTTTCCTCCATTCTGAGCAGCTGTAAACCATGCAGGAAATCTGCAGTCTTTCATGGGCTTTCAGACTTGGTTTATAAGGAGTGTACAGGCTTAAAAATAGACAGATTGTGACAGAAGCACATTTCTGGATCCTGGAAAGACAGAATGGAAGAAACCCACAGTTTTTTTTTTAATGGTATGACCAAGAATACACTGGATTTTAAGATTTTACTTTCTCCTAGTGTGGGTGGTTGTGGTTGTGATATTGCTACTATTGTCGTTGCCTCCAAAGACTTCCAGGAGAACCAAATATTTGAATACAAGTTTAGAGGTTCTTTTTCAATTTTTGAAACTATCTTAAATCTTGTTTACCGATGTATAAGGCTCCCATTTCATCTTTAAAACTTTCAATCTCTCCCCGGTGGTTCCTGGCCTTGCCCATTATAAAATGGAACCCTTTACTGCAGGGGTCTCCAACCTTGGGCACTTTATGACTTGTGGACTTCAACTCCCAGAATTCCTCAGCCAGCATGGCCAGCTGAGGAATTCATGGCTGGCTGAGGAATTCTGGGAGTTGAAGTCCACATGTCATAAAATGCCCAAGGTTGGAGACCCCTTTTTTACTGTATATCTTATCACAAGCCTTTGCTGCCCTTAAGCTTTTTCAGAAAATTGTCTTTTGTAGTCTTACTTGGGAGATGCAGAGGATACAAAATAGGATCTCTGCTATTCTAGCCTGAGTACTACAAATAGTAGGTTTTATTTCCCCTGTAGGGGAATGCATGAGATATTCTGAGCCAGATTACAACTGACCCTACTTTGACTTTTGTTTCCAGAATCCGATGCTGACATGGAGGTTGTGCTACAAGAAGCCACAGCTCTGCTACAAAGCAAGTTTGGCTTCTTCTCATGCACCATCCAGGTGGAGCCCTACCTGGCTGACATGGCCACCTGCCAGCAGTGCCAGGACCCACAGGACTAAGGGCAGTGCTCCCCTGTCTACTTTTCTCTTCTCTTCAACTGCCAGTCCCAAGAGGTGCCTGGAAACCCAGGGCCAGAAGCAGGGACCAGCCTCTTTTGCCATTCGCAGCAAAAGCCTCCTCTCAATGCATGTTCAACCAGCATATACAGGGAATGGCAAAGCACCAGGGATAATTGTCTGCCCAGCCAGGGAAGCCTCCAATGGAAGAGTTGCTGGTGGTTGAGCTTCATTCCAGGCTCAGCCTTGCCTCTTCATATTACATTCCAGTCATTTGGGGGCCACAATTGCTTCCCATGTTCATTTGCTAAATGTATTAATGTACAAATCCATCGGAAATGGGGATATGGGGGCAAGGCCTTTAAACATCTGCAACACTTGTCCTTTTTTCTCTGAGATGAAAATCAGTATTTTTTTTTCAATCTGGATGGCTTGGTGCTTGTTCAGGGCTTTTATTGTGACCATCTGTGTTTGCATGTGTTATAATAATTTTTATTTTGCGGCCACAGACCAAAATGCATGTGCAACAAAAGAAAACACAAGAAAAATATATCACAAACAATTAAACACCAGAAGCCTTGGCTAAAGGGAATTACAACGTTCTCCTCTGGTAGTTACAGCTCTTAAAAGAAATTTAGAGACCTGAGAAGTAATATAGGAGGAGCCATCCCCTAGACAATATAAAACCAAATTACTAACATTAAAACCAGAGGGATCAATTCCAAGGAGAGAGAATAATTTAATTCTGTCTGTGTTATACATAGGGCAGTATGATAAGACATGCTCCACAGTTTCAACTTCGGCCGTCACAGGGGCATAGTCGCTCACTAAACAGGAGCCTCTTAAATCACCCATCGAGTAATGCTGAAGGCAAGACATTGAAACGGGCCAGGGAAAAGACTCTTCTATACTTGGGGATGGTTAGAGTATAGAAATATGAAGCCATCCTCAATCCATAATTATTAGAATGGCTGAAGATCAAAGGGGAGCAGGTTTTGTTGGCTCTGGCTCTTAAATATTGCAAATCTATGTCCACAAGCCGTTGGACTACCCTAAACTGGGCATCCTTGAGACCATAATCTCCCAGAGCATCCCCCGTAAAACCTAGCAAGTGGAGTTTCTTCGTCAGCTCCCTCTCCCAACGAGAGGTATGAGAGTCAGCAAACACCAGGGAGAGGTAGCTACCAGGGACTGCCGAAAAGAGCACCCGAAACCACCATTGTTTGCATGTGTTGTAGAAGTAACAATTTTTCCCCAAAATGAACGTGAATGTTTAAAGCAAGTGTGGGGCAACATTATTCCACTCTTATCTTCTATTGTGACTAATACTGCAAAAGCAGAGCAAGCCCACTTTTGCCTGCAGAACAAAGGAGCAACAAAATTAGCCACAGAAATGTCTTGTCCCAATGATCTCACCACCCCCACCCCAGCTGAAGTTACCTTTATTCCTTTTCCTGAAGAAAAGTGGACATTTGCATAGCTTTGCTATCTAAACCAAGCTTTAAAGAGTCAGTTTTCATGTGAGTCAGTCTCAGCTTCTGGTGATTCCACGGATCCATCTGTGTTATTTTTTTAGCCACAATATAGAAATGTCTGTCCTTGTCTTCTTTCAGCATGTTTTTTTCATGTTCTCTACTATGGTATTCCCTGGAGGCTTCTCATCTAAATAACGACCAGACCTGACCTCCAAACTTATGCACATATAGACACTACATGCTATGATCGCCAGGATGCTGTATTCGCTTACAGGTTATGGTGACCCAAGCTTCACTTGGAAGAGCAAAAGTGTAGATTCTCAAACTATTCTATTGCATTGTTGTTCTATTGATCTGAACAAGAAAAACAGGAATTAAGTGCGGACTCGTAACTTGGATATAATGTTGTATATATAATAATATAAATACCAAATGAAAGGATGCCTGAAGAACCACTTGACTTAGAACTTAGCTCCAACACTGGAAGTTTTTAAGAAGAGACTGAACAGCCATTTGTTTAAAATTGTATAGGGTTTCCTGCCTGAACAGGGTTTGGATTAGATGACCTCCAAGGTCCCTTCCAACATTATTATTATTATTATTATACTACAGTTACTATCCACTTTTAAGATTTAAGATTCAGGGAAGTTAGAACAAATTGCAGGATACATTATTATTGAAGAGATGTCAATATTCTATTCCCAATCTAATCGTGGAGTCCAAAAGTATCCTTTTGACTGCTCACTAGCAATTGGTATCAGAAATATTCTGTATCTGATACAGGTGGTTAGTTAAAGAAGCTGCTCCTCATAGCCACAATTCCAGAGACCCAAGTAAAGGGCCCCCAAATCTTAGTGAGCAATAGTGTTGCTGCTACTGCTATCTGAACTTGTTTCCACAAGCATACCAACATATGCTCAACACATCTTTTTTGCATTCACAATTTGAGTATTATCTTGTATTGTGTATGTCTGTGTAGTGTATGTACATTTTTACTGTATAATGTTTTTTACAGTGAGTCCAGATGGTATTTTAATTATTTTAATTCAATGCTGAAAGTATCTGCAATTCCAATAAAGTAACCTTCCTCAATCATACCAGCCCAGTTTACTGGGGCTTGGGGAGTATGTCAGTTGTAGAAATATAGAACAAGGTGTTCTAGAGTGCAAGCAGGGGGTTGAGGGAAAGGGGATGGTCAAGCAAACCCTAAAGAGCTGTAGTTTTGGCTCAGAGGTCTTTAAACAGCTTATGTGATTGTATTCTATGCTGACTCTTGTCTCTTTATGGGCATCTGTTGCTAGCTAGAGTTAACAGCTTGTTTGGTACTAGAACTATAAACAGGCAAGATGGCAAAACAGACTGAGAAGATCCATATCACGTGAGTTGGCAAAATGACATTTTCCAGAATTTAGTGGTGGTAGGGAGATCAATTTTATTAAATACTTAAGAGTTCAAATAGCCTTTTTACTCAGTTCTCCACAGTGAAAATTATGGGAAACCACTAAAAGTTGCAGCATAGTTGGAGAGTCTCTATGCAATTTATGGGTATCTACTTTGTTGTTTGAAAGAAGTCCTCGGTGTTGACAGCTTATGGAGGAATGTGAGCAGCAATTGTCATGGAAGACAGATTAGGAGATGGATTGAGTCTTCTCTGAGATCTCCTTAGAAACAATATACTACAAACGTGCAATTTTCCACGATAAAAGAAAATGGTAAAAATTTACTCTTTAAAACAGATTCCTAAGAGAGTAACTAAAATGCACTATTTTTAACTCATTTTGAAGACATAGATGCACATAGGCTTATTATTCGCACTGATGATGTTACCTAGTTAGTGAACATCTGCAAACAAAGAAGCAAGCTCAGAGAGCACCATGGACTCCTTAGGCTTATTTCCTCATTTATCACCAGGGAGAGGAAGGGGGCATGTGAAGCCCTTTCCAAAGAAAGAAAGTGCTTTTACAAACCAAAACACATTTTTAATAACGGTTAAGACAACAAAATGGCTCAATGTGAGCAAAATTATTGTCACCAACAAGACTGGGAGAAACAGGGTGAGCAATGGGGCAAGAAAGTCTTGTTGATGCTTTAATCAGAGCAGATCTAGGTTTCAGGAGAATCTCCAGATCTATCCAAGAAGAATACGGGGCACTAATCCACCAGACTAGCTGCTAGAGGGAGATCAAATCCCTCCTTTCTGAGCTTTGTGCCATGCAGGAAAATCTCAGGAGAGAGCTCAAAGAAAGAAGTATCATGACATGGCAGAGATACAGCAGTATGGACTATTCCTCATCACTGCCTCTTCTCCCACAACAGGAGCTGACTTCTGGTGCTGCTAGAAGCTCCGGTACATTCCACTCATCACCATCTGGCCAAACCCTGCCTTTGTCATTCTCTTCAGCTTATCTGTTTCAATATGGCCAACATCCTCTTGTATTCATGCTTGGTTGTGTTCAGTATATTCTGATAATTCCAGGATTCTCACAAAAGGCCTTCAGTTTGCCAGTCATGTATCTTGACGCCCCAAATTGACTTGCCCTGGGTGATATTCAGCTGACAGCACTGTGCAGCCCAGATGAGATGGTTGTGGGGCAGTCAATCTGTCTCTCTGACTCAAACATGGAACTGAAATGGGCCTGACACTCAAGGAGAAGCTTGTGGCTGCGGGGGAAAACCAATGCCCGAACACAGTGAAGTCGCACAAGGCCAGACTGACCGCCAGACACTACCCAACTATGGCTGTCAAGGTTTGGGCTGAAGCGCACCTGCCAAGAGAAGAAAGAGAAAGCTGAAGAAGACATTAACCAGTAACCCACCCACCTCCATCCAGATACATCTCTCTTCCTCACAAATCCATGAAACTTCAGAGAGGATAGGGGAGCCACAATTCGACACAAAGGAAGAGATGCTGTGAAGTAACATTTTTTTTCTTCCTTCTAGAGTTGTACAGTCTTTTTTCCTTTTTTGTTTACCTTATGTACACTCTCTAGTTGCATGCGGCCCAGGATGGCTCCTTCTTTTACTTCTTTTGGCAGGTGTTTCTGGGGCTTTTGCCTGAAGAGGCTCTTGAAAGATGTCTAGAGAGGACAGAGAAAATAAGTAACAGCAGGCTTCATTAAATCAAGAAAACAAAGTGCATTATCCATTAAGGCCTTTTGATTCCAGTTGTCAACTAGTGATTTATTGGCTTGGAATGGAGCCTTATCAGTCTGAAACACACCACAGAATGGGTGGGCCTGATAGAAGCAGTGCTACATAGAAACCAGAAGTGGGAACCCTGCATCTTGAAGTTAGCACAGGGAGGAGAGTAGAATAATTATAACCACAGTTTCTGCGGCCTCTGTTAGCATTCGATATATTCAGTGCCAGATCCACATCCATAGTTATCTCTGGTCAGAGAGATAAAGGGTCCTGCCTGGAATATTTATGAAGCTGAAATGGGCCCCTCCATTCCCATGTGGTAGCTGCTATTCTCTCTGAACCAGAATTCTGCTTTTCCAAGCCCTCACCAAATCAGTATCTTGGAAG